GAGCAGATTCTGGTCGTTAATGGTTGCTTCTTGTCCTGTCGCCCTGTATATATATATATATATATATATATATATGCAGACTGTGTACTAAACATCAAGAACAAGCAATGTAGGCATTTAGTTTCATGTCAGGATCCGCATCTGTTTCTCCATTTGTTTTGTCATCTGGATTGGTGGCAAAAACGTTGCGGTTCGATTGTGGTTACATATGAACGGAAGAATTTGGTTGGGGATCGGTAAAGATGAGACAATTGAGAATTCATGTGAATCGAATGTTCATTATGTTCCGCATGTTCACGGAATATTAGTTCGCTGCCTGAATTACATAATTGTGGTGTAGTGAAATGAGAAACAAGAGCAACATTGATTGAATGTGTATATATGAAGCAATCCGATGCGAAGCATTTCAGAGGGCAAGACATGCATGTTTTTCAAATTTTAAGATTTTCTATGGAGATTGGATTTCTAAATAGGAATGCATTTAATCTGGAGCAACACATGTAGAATATTTTCGCATGAAGAATTATTTGTGTTTCAAGATAATACGATGCGAATTTATTCTTGCAAATAGATGCAAGCGTGCATGCGTTGATTGTAGACAGATGTTGTTCATTGAAAGGACAAGTTCACGTCATTACATTGAATACGTATTACGTTCGTAGTTTATTTCCGCAGTTTATATGGGCAAGCTCCCAGACAGGCAAGTTCATATACATTTCGTTCGTTCAGGAAATGAGAGGTAACTAGGACCTGTTGCAGTTGATTTGAAGTGTGAAGTTCAGTTGGATTCGCGACTTTTGCTAACATGTTTTTGTTCTGGCTCAGCCGCCTATGCCGCGCCGCAGTTTTTCAGTTGGCGCGTGCCCATGGTTTCGTGGGCCATCGAAATTATTTGTTTCCGCCGTTCTCCCTACCGTCTTGGCCTTTTTTCTTTACTTTCGTTTTTCCCTATTTTCCTTCCGGGCGTGGCCCGCCTGCTGAGCATATTCTGGTCGTTATTGGTTGCTCTTGGTCCTGTCGCCTTGATTTTTTGATTACTGAATGGTATTGTGTTTTGTCGCAGAGAATTGATAAAAACGAGAATGAAAATAGTTAGTTTTAGTTTTAATGATTTTGTTTTTTCCGCTGATATTCTTCCGATTAATATTAATATTGTTGCCCGTGGTCGTATTGCAGTCGTACTACTACTACTACTACTACTACTACTACTACAGTCTCCACCGCCATCACTCTCAGTTTTGTTATTTGTCAGATTTCTGTTATGAATCCGTGTCAGAATTATTATTGTTGCCACTACCACTACATTTATTTACGGTGATTTTAGGTGGAGTAATAACATTATTTGTAATGCCATCCAGACTATTTTTTATGTTGGTTTTTTTCTTTCAGTATCTGTTAATACTACTGCTACTCGTATTCCTATTATTCCTACGGTTCTTCTTTCTCTTACTACTACTACTACTACTACTACTACTACTACTACTACTACTACTACTACTATTGCGAATATTGTTAGTACTCCCGCTTATATCATTACAAGTACTGCTACTACAATTATTATTACTATTACTACTAGTATTATCAAAGATTCACGAGGACTACTACGTCAGTGCACCGGGACTGGTGTTGTTGCCTTTCCACCAGGACTGTCCCGGCATGTTTGATGTATTGTGGTATCGTTCGTAGTCTTGCTTGCGCAGGAAGTTGTGTTGTGAGCATTCCCGAGGCTGTAAAAAATAGTACTAGGATGATTCCGACTAGTATCAGTAGTGAGGATTACTACTATTATTCTCACTGTTTGCACTGCGATTACTACTATTAATATAAGAACTACTGTTATTATTACCGCCATTATTATTACTAGTACTATTATTAATACTACTACGATTATTACTACTACTACTACTACTACTATTACTACTACTACTACTACTACTACTACTACTACTAGTTTTTTTGGTTTTTAAAACAAAGTCTGCGACTACTATTGTTATAATTATTTCACTACTACTAGTTCTACTAGAACATTTTTTCTACTATTACGACGACTACTTCTACTACTACTAGTACTACTACTACTATTAATTTTACTTCCATTATTACAAATGTTGTTCATATTTTTACGATTACTACTATTATTACCACTTTTACTACTACTACTACTATTACTACTACTACTAGTACTACTACTACTACTACTACTACTACTACTACTACTACTACTATTACTACTACTACTACTACTACTACCACTACTACTACTACTACTACTACTACTGCTGCTACTACTACTACTACTACTGCTACTGCTACTATTACTACAGTGGGAGTCTGGCAATTGTAGGAGAACAATACAGTTGCGAGCTCATATTGTCAATGTCGGTGGGCAATGACAAGTATTAACTAGAAAGTTCATTCTTTCTTTCGGTGGATGCGCATGCCCGAGATGAAAAGCATTGGTTCGCGAGTTAATTTTCTAGCTCGTAATTCGAGTGTTCTCGGTATATATCATAAATCTTCATATGTATAGATGTACACACATCCATATAGATATGTGTGTGTATAGAACGAGATAGAGAGAAAGAGAGAGAAACAGAGAGAGAGAGAGAGAGAGAGAGAGAGAGAAAGAAAGAGCCCCACACATGCCCAGGTTAACTCGGCGGCAGCACCAAAAAGCTACATTAAATCATCGGGGGCGTGTCTCTAAACATCCAGAGGGTGGATTTTTTTTTGGTTGAGATGAAGACAGGTCGCCATTGCAGTCGACTTCTGAAAGACGAGATGGCCGATTTGCCGCTTGCTTGCAATCAAAGCCCGACGTGCCGGGTGTGGGAGTTCAAGTGGGGCATTTTTTAAGCCTCGCCCCAGATGTTGGGCAAGAGCCCGCTGCGCGGCAGTGCGTAGTGCCTCAATCTGGAGAGGTCGGTTCAACCCGCTTTAACGCAGTTATGTTTTTGCCCCAGAGGTTCGGGAAAGTGCACCCGGTCTGATAGCGCGGCAGCGCATTGTGCCTTAACCCGGAAGATTCGACCAGTATAGGTTGCGTTGACAGCAATTTTTTCACAATGCAGCCCGCTTACCCGAGTGTTTGATTTCGCGTTGTCTTATCGTCTTCGTCCCACTTTCATTCTCAGCGTAGTTTACGCATTTTGTTCTTTGAGCTTCGCTTTTTTTTGAGCCGAATCGCGCAATTACATATTTTGCGCAGCTATCGTATTTTCATGTCGTGCTTGAGTCCACGTGGGTCTTCATATGAATTTAACAATGTAGTTCGCAGCCTCGTCCAAGGGTTGATCGCATATACCGGTGCAGCACCTCCTTGGACGCGTGGCCATCGGTTCGGTCTACCAGGCGAGGGATCAATATTGCACAGCTTCTGATCGCCAGCGAAAGATCCTCATTCCCCTCTGGCTTCAAACGGGCAGCAAAATATGTTTGCACCCTCGAGCTGTATTTTTTTCCACCATCCCTGGCCTGAAGCCCATTCTCAGACCTAAAATGGCCATCGAAGTCTCCTCACCCCTCTGGCCTAAACCTATCAGCGATATGCTCCCCCTGGCCTAAAATTGCCAGCGACATATCTGCACCGCCCTGGCGTAGCCCCGCCATCGAAATACCCTCACCCTCTTGCTTACAAGCGCAAATCATTCTTTTTCACCACGCTGGCTTAAAACGCCACCAGAGTATTCATCTTTACTCCCTTGCCGAACATTTGCGACAAAAGATCCTTGTGCCGTGGCCCCATGGCTTAAACTTTTAAGCGGAATATGCTCACCCCCTGAGCTAACAGTGCTAGCGACATATGCTCGCCAGCCTGTCAAACACTTGCCAGCAAAACAACCCCACCTCTTGGCCCAAAGCTGGTAGCGAAATGTCGTCATCCCCCTGACCTCAAATTGCAGGTGGAGTGCTCGCACCACCCATGTACAAAACTGCCAGCCAAATATCCTCTTCACCCTGGCCTATAACAGCCAGCGTCATATCTTGGCCCGAAATTGGCAGCGACATATCCTCATCCCTTGGCCCCCTTTGCCTAAAACTGCCAGCTGAATATTCGTACACTCCTGTTACAAGAGTGCAGTGAAATATTTCTACTACCCTGATTTAAGATTGCCAGCGGAATATCTTCACTTCCTGGCCTAAGTAGCACCAACGACGGTTTTCACCACCTTAGCCTAAAACTTCAAGCGAAACATCTCCACACCCAGGCCCAAGACTCTCGCCCCCCGTCCCCCCTGGCCTGAAATTGAAAACCCCTTGGGCCAAGTGCCAGCGAAATATCTTCACCACCCTGGCTTCAAAGTGTAAGCATCGTTTCCTGAACCTCTGGCCCCAAACTGGCAGCAACCTAGACTCCCCCCTGGCCCTCCTGACCTTGAACCGCCTGCGAAATATCCTCACCCCCTGGCCTAAACGGTGCCACCGAAATGCCCCCACTACCGTAGCTGAGCGCTGGCAGCGAAATATCCCCATCCGCCGGAGATCTCACTTCTATCGAACGGCCTCGGCCATTCAGTTCAGCTCAAGTCAGTTCAGTTCGGTCCTGACGAAAGTCAACTTAGGGGCTGCGCCTGTTAAATGACGTATTCTCCTAGGGTTTTGGAAGGGTTTCTGCCTTTCGGGAGGTCTTTGGGAGGTTCGGTGGCCACGTAGCACCGTATTGGGGCAATCTTGGGGCTTCTTGGTGGCATGTTTGAAGCTGTCTGGATTGTGTGTTTTTGGAGGCATTCTCGGGCTATCTGCGGCCCTCTTGAGGTCATCTTGGAGCACCTTGGATCCTCCGGCGACCCGCGAAAGGCCCCTTCCACTCCCAAGAAGAGAGGAGGTGTGGGAAAGAGGGGGTTGGAAGAGCTAAGTCGCTAAACCACCTGCGCCCACAGAGCTGGTGGGATTCTGGTGTCCTCGGGTGAGGCAGGGCCACGTGAGCTCAACAGGACTGCTTCCATCGCCGTCGCACTTCGGGGTCAGGCAGGCTCCCCCCGCCTTCCCTGCAGCGGCAGGCCGAGCTGTCGCTGTCCCGCGTCCAGTTCCTCGTCTTCGACGAGGCCGCCCGCGGGCACCTCGGGGTCGTGGGGCCCCCTCTGCCCTCAGTTCCCTCTCTTCCCTCGGTTCCCTCGCTTCCCTTCCCCTCCTGAGGCCTTTCCGTTCCCCTGCCTCCTTCCCTCCCTCCCTCTCCTCCCTCCTGGCTCCTGTCTACCCTCCTCCATCTTCCTTCAGCATTCCTCGCATGAGAGCGCTTCCCTCGCATACGCCAACTGACTCTGCAGACTCTCGGAAGGCAAGTACGCCGGCACCGACTGCCAGCGCCGACTGCCAGCGCCGACTGCCAGCGCACCTGACGTTCCCTGCCTCCTATTTCTTGTTGTTCTGGTTCCCGCAGTACCCAAGCATGCTGATACTGTGTGTGCGTCGGCACCCTACACCTGAGGCCCCGCCTTCCTGTGCCCTGTCTCCCTAATGAAAGCTGTGCGTAGCCCGCCTAGCTTTTAGCGGAAGAGGTTCGCGCTCGCCCCGCAGATCAAAAAGTGTGTCGGCACCCTATGGGGCGGCGCGCGCGCTCTCTGAGTTTTTGTAGCACATCCTCGATGGCGGGCGCTTTCTGGCCGTGCCGCCTGCGCAGCGGCATGCTGCACTACGAAGTGGTAGCGGTGCGCTATAATGTGCGCCGTAGTATGCTCGTGTCGTATGTTCGGTTCGGGCGCGAGCCTCTAGGAGCGGCGCATAGTGCTTAATATGGCCTTTTGCGCCCCGTGGCTCACGGGCAACCAGCGGCACAGTCCGAACTCCTCGCGCGACTCGCAGGTCCGCGCGGCCTTCCCGAATCGGCGCCGGGCCCCCCCTCCTCGGCGCGCGGCGCGCGCCAGGGTGCGGCGCTGAAGGCGCCGCCGTGGGGGTGGCCTGCGCCGATGCAAGAATAGGGGAACAAAAAGTGACATAAGCATAAAAACTCTGAGGCCCGCGCGGATTTCTCGGATCGGCGCTGGACCCAGCTCCGTGGCGCGCGGAGCGCGCCAGGGGCGGCGCCGGAGGCGCCGCCGGGGGGGCCCCAGCGCCGATCCGAGAAATCCGCGCGGACCACCGAGTCTTTAGGTTTGTGTCACTTTTTGTTCCCCTAAAGAAGCCCACATGTCTTTTGCAATGCGATGTCAAGGCCTACCCTGCCTGCCGGAACTGCCTGGCAGGCGCACCTCTGAGATGGTCGAAGGTGCCCAGGGCCAAGAAAACGGCTTTCTGGCTGCTGCCAAAACGGGGCAGCCAGCGCCGAGCCAGGGACTCTGCACGGGCCTCCCGAAGTCTATGCTCATGCAGTCTTTTCTCGGGAGTCCTAATTAAAACGGTGTGGCGACGGACCTTGGCCTCGAAGTCCCCAGAGGCCTCGCTGCACCGTCCGTCACCGCAGCAGTGCGCGGGCCTCGCGGGGCATGCCCAGCCAAGAGCCCGGCGCGCCCATCCGTTCTGAAGGGGCCGCTCCACACAGAGCGCCAGAGATGCGCCTTTCACTTTTGCACGGGCCGCTCCACCACGACGCATCGTCGAGAGCCACCCGGAGGCGGCGCGTTGCTTGCGACCGGACTCGTGGTGCAATGGCATGGTCCTTGACTTGCCATGGCATGGTCTTTGACCTGCCATGGCGTCTGTCTTTCTGCGTCCCATGGCATGGTCCTTGACCTGCTTCGTCCCCGCCCTCTGCGGGATCGCGACGTGCGCTGGCTCGCTCGGGTCGCTCGCTTCCCTTCTCCCTCCTCCCTGCCTTCGGTCCTCGGTCCCTCCCTCCCTCCCTCACTCCCTCCCCCTTGGTTTCGTTCCTCGCTTCCCTTTTCCTTCCTTATATGCTCGTTTTGGGAACCTTCCTGTGCCCCACCTAACAGATCCATTCGACTCTAGTTCGACCGCAGTTCGACTCAAGTTCGACTCAAGTTCGACTAAAGTTCAACTTAAGTTCGACTCAGGTTCGACTCAGGGTCGACTCAAATCGACGGACGTTCGACTCAGCTTCGACGCAAGAGTGGAGCGAGTGTCTCCAGGAAGGTCCCCAGAATGAGCATCCAACCCTCCTCCCGCCCTTGTATCCTCATTCCTCTCTCCCTCCTCTGGTTGATGGGCAACATCTTCGTGAGCACCCCCCGCGCCCCTGATTTGATATTGGCCGCCTTCGCCGTGGTGTGTCGAGCTGTCGATTTGCCGGCATCCTGCGCCCCGCTGGCGATGCCAGCCAAGGGGGCGCGTTGAGGTTTGCGCCGGCATCCCAGTCGCGCGGGTGGTGCAGGATTTTGTCCATCAATCGTTCCTCCTCCTTCCTTGCCCTCTGCCCTGTTTCACCTTTTATCCGGTAAGTGAGGTAGAGGCATGACTTTTGCTCCTGCCGGCGGCACGGACTCTGGGGCAGGACGAGGAGGAAGAGGATAGTTGGAAGAGTAGGCAGGAGGAGCAGAAGGAGAAGGAGTAGGCAGGAGAGGGAGGAGCTTTGAAGAGGGGGAGAAAGACGAGGTGTATGGGGGAGGGGGATGACGAAGAGGACGGCGGGATAATGGGGGAATGATGATGATGCTGATGACGATGATGCTGCTGATGACGACGATGATGATGATGATGCTGATGATGATGATGATGGTGGTGGTGATGATGATGATGACGAAAGGGGAAAAGGAGGAGGAGGAGGACGGCGGGATAATGGGAGAATGCTGATGATGATGCTGATGACGGTGATGCTGATGACGATGATGATGATGCTGATGATGGTGGTGGTGGTGATGATGCTGATGGTGATGATGCTGATGATGAAAGAGGAAGAGGAGGAGGAGCAGGAGGAGGACGAGGATGAGTTTAAAGAAGGGGACAGATGACAAGGTGGACGAGGTGGATGTGGAATAATCAGGACGAGGGGGGTGGGAGGAGAGGGAAGATGAGGAGGATGAGGAGGAGGACCAGAGTAGACCCAAGATGCATCGGCGATGCTGCAATGCGCGCTCCCGTCCACAGCCCCCTCATCACAAGTCCCTACAAGCGCTTCTCTTCAAGCAAAGAGAGCCCCCTTGAACGACCAGCAATCTTCGGGCCTGTCATTCATGTGAGAGACCCGTTTTGAGCATGAACTGCCACTAATTTTTCCTAGATCAGGAGCGGTTCAACGAAGTGTCCAGCGGCTTCCTGGTTTTGAAACAAGGACCCCCATCCCGTGCATTTTTCGCACAAGCTTCCATGCTAGCAAGCGTGAACCCCAAACAGTGTGTTCGAGCAGACCAGGTGGTGCAATCTATGTAATGCAAGCTATGTGGTGCAAGCTATGTGGTGCGATACACGTGATGTAAGCTGTATGGTGGAGTCCATGTGGTGCATGATATGTTGTGCAATATATGTGGTGGGAGCTATGCGGTGTAAGGTACGTGGTGCAATCTACGTGGTAGGAGCCAACGTATTCAATGGTGTGATGTGAGCTATGTGGTGTAAGCAGCGTGCTTCCATGTATGTGGTGCGATCTATGGGATGTGAACTATGTCGTGCAATTTTTGTGGCGCAAGTCATACGGTGCGATCAATGTGGTGTAAGCTATGTGGTCCAGTCAAAGTGGTGCAACTTATCACGTGCAAATTACGTGGTGCGGGCTATAGTGGTACGATCTATGCAGTGCAAACTATGTTGTGCGAGCTGTGCGGCGTAGGCTATGTGGTGTTATGTTATGCAACGCAACGCTTAGTAATGCCCACCAGTGTTAAGCAATGCGCAGCAATGCGAAGCAGTGAGACGGAGTGCAAAGCGATACCGAGCAATGTCAAGCAATGCAGATCGAAGGTATGCAACGCAAAGCAACGCCACGCAACGTTATGCACTAATATACAGCAATGCACATTAATATAATGCACTGCAAGGTAGCGTGACGTAATGCAACTTAACGCAGCATGGTGTACACCTATGCAAATCAGTGCAACGCATTGCAAGCAACGCCAAGCAATGCCAAGCAATGCGCAGCACTGCCAAGCAACGCAAAGCAATGCAACGGAATGACAAGCACAGCGGAACAGTCCACACCAATGCAAGGCAATGCAGCGCGATGCAAAGCAATGCCAAGAAATGCAAAGCAATGCAAGTCAACGCAGCGCAATGCAAAGGACATGCACACACGCCAATGCAAGACAGCGCAATGCAACGCGATGCAATGCAGTGCATCTCAATGCCATGCAATGCAAAACAATGCGAAGCACTGCAGAGCAATGCAAAGCACGTCATAGCACTGTACAAAATCAATGCATATCAACGTAAAGCGGTGGAGCGCACTGCAATTGCAAGTCAGTGCGATTGCAGTGCAATGACGGACAGCACCGTAACGTAACGCAAAGCAACACAAAGCAATGCAAAGTAATGCAAACAAATGCAAAGCAATGCAGAAAAATGTAAATTGATGCAAAGCAGTGCAAAGCAATGCGAATCAATGCGAACCAATGGGAAGCAATGCAAAGCTATGCAAATGATTGCAAAGCAATGCCAAGCAATGCAACGCAATGATGCTTAATGGAAAGCACCGCATAGCAATGCAATTTATTGCAAACCAATATAATTAAGCGCAGACCAGCACAAATAAATGGATGCAAACCAGTGGGATGTAATGCAAACGCGCAAAGCAATGCAAAGTAACGCAGGCTCAGTTGGCGATGGGGCGACGACGGCGACGGCGACCACACAGCCGCCAGACCGACGGGCAGGCGCAGAAAACGACCGGCGACGAGGAGGCCACGTGGCGGGGATGGTGACCTCACAGCCGCCATACCGACGGGCAGGCCCAGTTCCCCAGAAAAGAAGTAATAGCCTCGAAGTGCAAGCACTCTTAGGGGAACTTGTGCTACAGAACATCTGGGACGGCTCGAGAGAGAACCCCATTTTGAAAAGGAGCCGCCCTCCATCCGTGCACTCGTTGAAGTTATTGTCTTTGACTTTCAGGGAGTCCCGAGCGATAGCCCCAGTTTGAAAAAATACCCTTCAACTTGATAATTGCGGCGAGCTCTGAAGACGAACATTCCCAGCGGCTAGGGCGAAAACCTAATTTTGAGAATGAGCTGCCCTCCGTTCTTTTAGGTACTGCACGCTTTCAAGACGAATGATGGGCGCAGCGTTAAGCCGATCGCTTCATTTCGAAAAAGAACCGCCACTTAGATCTGGTTTTGTGAAGGCCTGGTAGCCGATCCGGGAGGAAGATTCCATGATGAAGGTGATAGCCAGAGTTGTTCGGGAAGGTTTTGACCAGGCGCCCCGACGAGTTCCCCTGAAGCCCCATCAGGTTCCCAAGAAGCGTATGACGAGGAGCACAGCTGGGCCAAGCTATCTGCCTACGTACTTTCGCAGAAGAGGGGGGTAATCAGGAGAGATAGGATGATGATGCTGATGATGCTGCTGATGATGATGATGATGATGATGATGATTATGTGGTTGATGCTGCTGCTGCTGATGATGATGCTGATGATGATGCTGCTGATGATGAGGAGGATGAGGAGGATGAGGAGGATGAGGAGGAGTATGAGGAGTGGAAGGAGGAGGAGGAGGAGGAGGAGGATGAAGAGGAGGAGGAGGAGGATGATGAAGATGAGGAGGAGGAGGAGGAGAGGAGGGGAGGGAGGAGGAGGAGGAGGAGGAGGATGAGGAGGAGAACGAGGAGGAGGAGGAGGAGGAGGAGGAGGAGGAGGAGGAGGAGGAGAACGAGGAGGAGAACGAGGAGGACAATAAGGAGGAGGAGGAGGAGGAGGAGGAGGAGGAGGAGGAGGAGGAGGAGGAGGAGGAGGAGGAGGAGGAGGAGACCTCTTGGAAGCCTTCGCGGGGGCTCTGGGAGCCTCCTCAGGCTTTACGGCGGCCTCGTGCCGCCATCGAGAATCGTCTTGGAGGTATTTTAGGGCCATCTTAGGTCAGACTGGGTCATCTTCGCCGTCTTTGAGGGCCTCTTGGATCTTCTTGGCGGCAGTGCAGCGCTATCCCTGACCATCTGGGAATTGAGCCTCGTCGTCTCTCTGAGAATTCAGTGGGAGCCCTCTGTGGGCTCTCTTGGGGCGTTCGGGCGATTTCAGGCGCCTCTTGGATTACGTGGCCTACGGCCCATGCCGCCATCGTGTCTTGGTGCGATACTGTTGGGGACCTTTGGGAACCATCTTGGAGCTCTCTCCGGGCTCTCTTTGAGGCTTCCTGGGACTCTCTCCGGGCTCTCTGAGAGTCTCAACGTGCTAGTAGAGGGGCCCCAAAGGGCATCAAGAGGTTCTAAAAGGCCTGAGAGGGCCCCAAGAGGGCTCCAGAAACAGCTTCTTGGGACCTCTTCGGAGGACCGTCGGGGGCCTCTCGAGGCAGTTTGGAGGCAGATTGTGAGCCTCTTGGGAACCTCTTGGGAGCGTCTTGGGGCTTCCCGGGGTCCTCTTGTGGGCCTCTTGGGGCCTCTTGGGCCTCTCTTGGGGTGTTCTTGGGGCCGTCTTGGGCCGTCTTGGAGGCCTCTTGGGCCGTCTTGGAGGCCAATTGGTCCGTCTGGGCGCCTCTTGACGGCCTCGTAGGCCGTCTTTGGGGAATCTTTTGGGCCACTTGGGCCGTCTGGGAGTGTCGGGAAGCCTCCCAAATACCAACGGAAATTCAATACACTTTGCCTCGTGGGGCCCTCTTGGGAGTGCTCTTGGAGGCCTCTTGGAGCGTCTTGGAGACGCCTTGGGCCGTCTGGCGTCCTGGAGCATCTTGGGCCTCTGTTGGAGCATCTTGGACCTGATTTACCGAAGGAGGGCAAACTTTGATCGAAGGCGGCCCGAGAAAGGAGGGGGGTTGGGGACCGTATTCTGACCCAGGACTCCCCCCCTGGGACCCCACCCTGGACCCCCCTGGACCCCCTCCCCGGGACACCCCCCTGCCCTGGGGCACCCCCCTGGTGGGGAAGGGATCACAGGGAAGGGGTTCCCCTTCGACGCAATTACGACTTCGATGGCGACCAGGCTCGACTTGTTTTGGGTTGACGAGCTTGGCGCGCCCAAGAGGATGATGAGCTGGGCGCGCCCCAGAGAGCGCCACAGGGTGCTCCGAAGACGACACACCCATAACTCCCCCTCACACACGCCGACAGGGTCGGCGGATGTTTTTCAAGCTTTGAAGACGAATGCGCGCGGCGCTTACGCCAGAGTTAATGTTTCCGTTCAAAACTTGCCTTCGCTCTGTCTTCCTGTTCTTTTTTGCCCTAATGTGCTTCGGCGCGTTCCACCTTCAGCCCGACCTGAGCCTGACCGCTTCCGCACTTTTGCGCCCGCTGACTTAAAACAATATTTTGTTGAGAACTCCCCCTCTTCCGTACTCGTAGCTGTGGCAATAATGAAGCA